GTGGAAGGTGTCCCTGCCCATGGCAGGGGGTGGAGTGAGATGATCTTTGGCCCTTGGCCCTTCCAAGCCAGGCTGTTCTGTGATTTATCATTTTTTCCTCTTTGTTTCTGTCCATGAGGGGTTTCTCAGAGCTCCCTCATCTCCCTGTGTGCAATTGGTGCAGACACACACCTCCTTCTCTGTGAATCATCCTATCTCTTGTGGAATAGCTGTTTTTTAGTGATCTGTCATCAGCTGCTCTTGATGCTGTGCAGGAACAGGAAAGATAAGTTGCCCTAAACACATAGAACACCCTGACCTGTGTGTGGTCCTGTGGAATGATTCAGGAAGAATTGCAGTGCTCTCTCACACAGTGACAGGATGCAGTGATCTTTAGTCTGAAAAGAACGAGAAATAAGACATTGCTGAGCAGTTCCCAGGTGTCTGTGAGAGTGATTTCCCCTGGGCCTCACAGTCACTGTGAAGTTTGCACTTATCCTGGCAGAACCTTCTCAAAGTTTTTCAGTTTGAGGAAAGTATTGAATTACATGATATCTTTATTACTAGAGACTTTTAAGCGTGACTCAAAAGATTCAGTGTGAAGATCAGGAGCTTTATTAGAAGGTGTTTCAGGTCTTTGTGGTCTTTGCAACAGGGAAAAGGGAACATTTGAAATTCAGAGCAGGTCTTTTATTTTTAAGAGCATCAGACTTGACATATAAAGAGATTCTGATCTGATATTGGGGGGAAGCTGTGAGCTGTGAGAAGGGCAGGGAGGGATCATCTTGGGGACAGTATGAACATTTCCCTGAGCCATGAGAGACCTGGGTGATGGGGAGGTGAGGAGGGTGGCTCATAGATGAGAGCTCACATGGTTCCATCCATCCCACTGCCCTTGGAAAAGGGAATTGGGCCGGCCAGCAGGACTGGCCAGCATCTTCCCAGCTCTGAGAGACATTTAGTTTGGGCTGGCTTGGCAGGCTGGCCAGCCCATCCTTTGTCAAAGAATCACTGCTGTGATGGCAGCAGTGGAGTGTGCCTATGGGTTTGTACTACTTTTGGAATTTCTGCTGCACTGGGGTGTTGTTACCTGTGTGCACCTGTTCCTGTTTTGGAAGCACTGGAATAACCCTGTCCTTTTCCCTCCAGGATCATGAGGGAGCAGCCCAGTGTGGTCCTTGGGGTGGCCCACACTGTTGTGAAGAGAATGTCCCCCTTTGTCAGGCAGATTGACTTTGCCCTGGACTGGATGGAGGTGGAGGCTGGACGAGCTGTTTACAGGTGAGATGGGGACTAAATTGTGTGTTTGAAGTTTTCCTAGTTAATGAGCTGTGCTCCCTTGGTGATGTGTAGAATGAGAAACCCACTGCACTATATTTATCAACCATTCCATCAGGTTTTATCTGCCTATTTTAAGATAATTTTCTTTCTGCAGTACCTTCAGCATTGCTTCAGTCTCTTGTCTCCAGGTGTTACTAAATTATTTCATACTATTCCTCATCCTTTCTGTTGTTGTGGCAAGCTTTTAAAGTGACATAATTGATTAAGACACAGACAGTTGTATGTTCTAGTGGTGGTTTCTGCATTGTTAAGAGCATGAACATCTACTGCACAAGGAGTTTTTCAGCCTTTCTAAAATAAACAGCAAAACTCAAAGGTAATTCAGTTAGGCTTATTCTGTAGTAAATTGAAAACAGGAAATTTGTGTTTAAGGAGCAAAAGTTACCTTGGGAAAACTAGTTTTAATGATCTATACCAGGATGCAATTGAGCTGCTACATGGTTGCTGCAGTGGTGGGAGAATAACGGTCCAATTTAGTCCTTGATCTGTGTAATTGTAACTGTAGTTGTTATTGTGATACCTGCAGCAGCAAAGCTAATGGAAGTTTTGGATTACTCTGTGCATCAGAGCATTCATAGCTGTCAATATCTTGTTAAAACCTTTCGGAATTCCTTCATTAGTTTTAACTCCACCACCAGAAGAATCAGCATTCCAGACACAACTCCTAATCATGCCAACTAAATATAGCAAAAGCTTCCTGCTAGGCTGAGGTGTGTGCACCAAAAGGAACCCAAATCTGGAGCCACTTGGGAGTTTGCTCTTTGACCTGCACATTTTCTCTGCACGTCCACGTTGGCCTTGCAGTGGGAACAAGCTCCTGTGTACCCAGCAATGTTGTCTCCCCTGGGGGCCCTGTGCATCCTGGTCATCCACATCCAGACCTATCATGGACTCACAGAATGGTTTGGGGTGGAAGGGACCTTAAGGATTGTCTGGATCCACCTTCCACTAGCCCAGGTTGCTCCAAGCCCTGTCCAACCTGGCCTTGGACACTTCCAGGGATGGGGCAGCCACAGCTTCTCTGGGCAACCTGTGTCAGGGCCTCCCCGCCCTCACAGGGGAGAATTTATTCCTAATATCCAATCTAAATTACTCTGTTTGAGTTTAAAACCATTCTCCTTTGGCTTGTCCTCAAGCAGTTGTGCACAGCCTGCACATTTAAACATTAAACATATTTCCAGGTCACCTTTGAACAGGTGCCTGTTCCATTTCTTGTTTACTTGTTAAGTTTTAAGTCTCAGTTAAACCCTTTCCTGTGTCCTCTAAGCCAGGGAGGGAAAATCAACCTATTCAAAGGCTCCAGATGCATTTGCTGAGCGGAGCTGCTTCACTAATGCTGGTTATTGATCCTTTCTGCAGGCAGGGGGACAAGTCTGACTGCACGTACATCGTGTTGAACGGGCGCCTTCGCTCCGTCATCCGGATGGAAGATGGGAAAAAGCACCTGACTGGGGAATACGGCCGAGGGGACTTGATTGGAGTGGTAAGAGGGAGGGGCACAGCCGAATGCTCAGCTGAGAAATTGGGATTGAGTCCACACTGAACAAACACAGTCGTGCTCTGAGCAGTTGTTCGTCTTGTTAAGGGCTTGCACAAGTTCGAAACGTGGAAAATCCCTTCTACCTGGAAACTTTGTGTAGTAATTAATGAATGGAGATATTGGACTTGGTCTGAAAAGAAAGAGGAAACAAAAAAATGTCATAACCAAACCAGTAGGCCACATGGGCCCTATGGGCCACATATGCCCTATATGTCCCATAGGCCCCCTAGGCCCTATAAACCACATGGGCCCCAAAGGCCTCACAGACCTCATAAACCCCAGAGGCCCCATAGTCCACGTTGGCCACATATTCCCCATAGACTTCAAAGGCTCTATAGGCACCATCCATAGGTCCCTTATGCCCCATAGGCTTCAAAGGCCTCATACAACCTACAAGCCCCATAGACCCCAGGGCCCTGCCCAAGGCTCTTCTGTGCTGTGGGTTATTTTCTTTCCCAGTGAAAGGTGTGCAGCCTGTGAGAACAGGTCAGGGAGAATTGCAGGAATGTGCTCTAAATGGGGATTTGGATAGATGTAGTGCCACAGGAAGATTCAGTCTGGCCGAGCCCCCCTGGAAGTGTCTAATCCAACCTCCTCAGAGTTGGCAGAGCTGACTTCAAAGCTTAGTCAGGTTTTTCAGGGAGTGTGTAATTATTATCGTTATTAAAGCAACTGTTGATTTCAAAATTGTGGTATTTATCCACGTTGAATTTCTCTATGTTCATTTTTTTGTTTCTCAGACCTAGTTAACAACAGAAATAGGAGTCTGACATCACAAATATGTGCGGCTTGTTTGATTGTTATATTTAAAATTAGAAGGTTTCTGAAGTTCTGAGATTGTTGTTCAGGCCCTCTTTTGCCTTTAGAGCTGAAAACTAAATACTGAATGTGTATCTGTTTATAGCCAGAATTAGCATAGCTCTGAAGCCAGAAAACACAAGAATTGGGATTAGTTCTATGGGAAGAAATTCTTTTCTGTAGAAACGAAGGGGAAGGAGGAATCCAAGGCTGTTTCACTTCAGAGAGCTGATCCAGGACTGTGCTGAATGCAGAAGGAGATGGTTTTGAAAGTGGCAGCATCCAGCAGTTGAGTGTTTCCCACTAGTGTAAGAGGTTCTCCTTCCCTCTTTCCCTGCTCGTGGGCTGTGTCTGTGATGTAGGACTCTCTCTGTGGCAGGAAAACACCATCAGCAGGGGACACCTGCTTGTCTCTGATGGCAGGTGGGTCCCAGAACAGTGCCTGTATCAGAAAATGTTTGTGACAAAGGTCTGGGGTACTGAGAGACTGGGAACTGACCTAATATCTGACTTGTTTATCTTGAGACAAGTAAAAAGTTTTATTGTGAGGAGGGTGAAGTTTCTGTGCTTGTTCACTGTGTGTTCACAGCTTGTTTTCACCTGTGTAATAACTTAAAATAAATTGCCTGTCATTGGGAAGGGACTGTAGAGAGAACATGAGGCAGTTCTAGTGATGGTCCCAGAAGAAGATGGAGGTGGGTTGGGCTGGTGGTTGCACAATATTTGTTGAGTTCTATGTGGACAGTATTTAAGGATCTCTTCCCAAGCTCTGTGCTGCTCTGGCTGAGGGGTTAGGTTGGCTTGGGATCGTGTTTGGAGGAGCAGGTCCATTCTGGAACATTCTAGGAACACTCACAAATTTTATTTGATTTTTCTTTTTTTGGGGGATATCTCATTAAAGGTAAAATGACATGGTGTGACAGGAACAAAAGCTGTGATCTTTTGTGACTAATCATGCTGGTATGAGGCCTTTTAGTGTGGGAACAGGGGTTTGTCAGGTTTGACACATACAGGCATTCTCCTGCTCCTTCCCCTGCTTTTCCTTCGCCTGTAGTGATCTGCAGCTTCACTGTCAAGCTCCTGGAGTTTTGCAGAACTCCAGGTTAAAAACAGAGCTGTTCTACTTTCTGAAAGTAGTTTTGAGTGACAGTGGAGCATATGGTGTTTAGAGGGGGGGAGCCCTTGGCACGGGTTGCCCAGAGAAGCTGTGGCTGCCCCATCCCTGGAAGTGTCCAAGGCCAGGTTGCAGCAACCTGTGCTAGTGGAAGGTGTCCCTGCCCATGGCAGGGGGTGGGATGAGATGATCTTTAAGGTCTCTTTCAACCCAAAGCAGTCTGTGATTCCATGGTGTGGTCTGAGCTTTACCTCCCTGTACAAGGACTGCTGCTGGGTTTGGTGTAAGATTCCACGCTGGCCCAAGTGTTTATCTGCTGAGGAAGGAGGAGGTGGATTTGGTGGATGGACTGGGCTGTGTTTGCTGTTGGAACGTGCCACGTTTGCTGGCGAGTCCCTCGGCATGGACACAGAAATACCCTTTTGGTTTGTGTCTAAACCATAAGTCACTTGTTTGGATCCATGTTGTGACATGAATCATATTGAAGACTTTTGTGCCTCCATGGACAGCGTCATCTCCTTCCTACCCACAGCTCCAGCCCCACTGACTCATGGTGCCATTTGCTGAATGAGTCTCAGTGCTCTGGCTGCCTTTGGAAAACATGGGGGAGGACGTGTGGAGACTGCCAGGATTAATGCAGCCATCCTTTGCAGAGGGCATTAGGAAAATGATATTTTTCATTTTAAAAAGATTTGTTCACTCCCTTCTGCAGAATCTGCTATAAACCTTTAAAAGCCTGCTGCAGGGCTGGGTTTTTTTTTTTCCCCCTGAGATTAACATAATTGGAGGGTTCCAGGTGCTTGCAGGGAATGAAATCAGCAGTTGGTGTTGGTAATTGGCACTTTGGTCAACTGGTGGCTTGTTCCTCCCTGAACCCCTGCAAGACCTTCCCATGTCATCCATAATTGTGGGCACTGACAACATACAAGAGTCTTGTAGTCGATTTTATATGTTTTGTATTTTTGTTTCCTGCCTTTATGTCAGAAGGTTTAAAATGCCACGTGTCATTTGCACAAGAGACAAGGCTCTGCCATTTCTTTTGGAAGAAAAGCCCTGAGAGATGGAGGGTTTCAGACAAGCTGGTAATTTTCCAGCCTGTGCCTGCACTCCCAGGGCTAAACCTGGGGCTCGACTGGTTTTGTTCCTTGTACTAACTCAATGGCATCTGTTCCTGAGGTCTGTTGGTTCAGGGGGAGAAGAACAAAACTAGAAACTGAAGTTTGCATTCCCTGTGTAGTTCCTTGGAGAGCTGATGAGGATGAGAGCAGTTATGGCAGGGGAAGAGGATCCTGACTCCCTGGGAGCCTTTTTGGAGGAATGGCCCTGTTCATGGTTGACTCCAGTCACTGTGTCTGGTCCAGTCAAGCAAAAACTTGATTGAAAAACTTCCAAGTAATTTTTAAATGACAGTGATGAATCTGTTGAGCAATTCCTTCCCTGGTTAAATGCAGTTGACAGAAGTCCTGCTTTCTAGAGACTATGATTAGACCCCTTTTGGGGGGAATCTTTTAATTTGGTGGCGTCGTTGCTACAGAGGCACTTGTGGAAAAATGTGGAAATGTGAATTTTATGAAATCAATCTGGGAGCTGAAGGGTCACTCTTCTAGTGTCGCTTCTGCCATGCCCAGGTGACCCCAGAGGAGGTCAGAGAAGCCCACTGTGTCTTGATAAAGTGAAAGGGCTTCTCTTCACTAAGTTACTTGTTTAAAGTGCTTCTCTTAGTCTCTCCTTTCTTTTCTTGATGTTGCTGCTCTATTTCTGATCTCAGTTAACTGCTGGAAATTGTATTTTTTACTCTCGTTCTCTTGATCTCATTTGTTGTCTGAGAAGGAGGATTCCTTTTAGTTCATTTATTTTTTTAATTCCTGTTGATAGCAGGTGAACAGGCCCAGGCTCTGACATTCAGTGTTGCCCCTGGCACTGCTGGGCAGTTATTCAGTGGTTTGTAGGTTGTCACAACACAGGGTCACAACTCCAAGCCTCTGTTGAGGCGGGTGTTGTTTTGCTTTTAGCATTGTTGGAAGGACAGTTGTGGGTGAGGAGAAGGGAGCAAACCCAAGAGAGCCATAATAATCTCCTGCTGAATTAAAGTTATTTGTACACCTCACCTTTCAAATACCTACAGGTGATGGAACCTTCTGTGCAATGAGCTTTTTATGCAAGTCAACACTTTGTCTAGATTGAGTTCTGGGGAATGGCTGTGGTTGGTTCTCAGGGGCCTCAGCAAGAGCTGTTAACTCACAGGATTTTCCAAGCTGGGCTCTTGGCTGGTGTAGAGCTGGGCTTACTGGTAACCACCTCCCTGTCTGCAGTGTCTGACCAGAAACCAGTCAACTTTCAAAAATACCTACTGAGGGGGGAAGTTGCAGTGATGTTTTGATTAATTCAAGATATTTTCTGTTTCTCTTTAATAACCAGAATGTCCCTTTTTATTAGTAGAACTACACCCAGCCACTTTTGGTTAATGAAGTAGCAAAATCAGTGCAGAAAGGCCTTTGTTCACTGACACTTTCTTGTAGCACAGGGCAGCACGAGTGATAAATGGCAGAAAAGGAGCCCTCAGCTGCCAGTGCAGCTCACACTGGTCCTGCTGGAGAGGAAATCATGCTTAACATTCTAGAAATAACAGATATTTAAAATGTTTTCAGATGTTAAGCTGTTCATCCAATTAAGACAGCTAAATGTCCACAGCTTTTTTCTCTCTAAAAAGTTGAAACCCAAGAAGAATCTGTAAATGGCTTATGATGATTTCCTTAGGGGATTGGAACATTGTCCTTTTGAAATGTAAGACTGTTAGAAATCTTTAATTGCTGAGTAATCCTCAAAGGAATCACACAAAGGAAAGTATCAGGATTACACTTGTCAGGCTTTTGTTCTTTATCAGTATTAATGTTATCAGGCAGCCCCAAAGCTGAATGTCACTGCACCCTCCACATTAAGGCTGCTTTGCTTTGCCTTTTTTGATCTTTTTTTGCCAATTACTTGCATTTTTGTAACTTAGTCAAGCCATATCTACTTCATTTGCTGAAGC